TCTCAGGACTGCATTAACTAGGTGCAATAGTACATTCCTGTAATCTTAGCATTGAGGAAGTAGACCAAGGTCTTCCTCAGCTACATAGCAAGTTCAAGGCCAGCTTGGGCTACATGAGACTTTGCTTCAAAACAACAAAATGGGGGTAAGGGTGGGAGACCTAAACCAAAACTACTAGGGGAAACAAAAGAGATATTAACTTTAATAAAAGTTGGCATATTCCAGTGTCAAGAGAAACACTTGCACCCCAACCTGAGCACACAAGTGAGGCTGGACAGACTAAGTAACCTTCAGCTAGGCTAAGGGTATATAATGTGTGCACTAATATTCAAAGTCATTCTGAAAAGAAATGTCACAATGTTAAAAGGGTTGTTTAGGAATAGACAGCTATACACATTCTGATTCTCTCTTTCTCTATTTCCCCATAAGGAACACACTCTTTGTAACAGAAAAGAAAGATGTTCATGTCCAAAGAGAATGAAGGGCAACATCACAGGGCAATGAATTCTGTTCTTGCTGGACTTGACTCAAATGTGTTTAGCAGTCATGCACAGCTGTGCATGGAGAGGCAGAGCTCAGCGTGCAGCTGGCCCATGGGAGTTGGTATTCCCTGATCCACATGAGAGGTGCTCACTCCGGCCCCTTTCAGAGCTGGGCCAGGTTTCCTTCTCAGGCATGCTGAAGAGGGGATTTATGGGCCTGGGGGACCCAGACATCTGTGCTTTCATTTACCCGTAGCCCTATGCTAAACTTTTCTGGTGAGGAACTGACAGAGTACCATACAGTCGACATCACAAATGCTGTCTTTGTGCTGAGGCCCAATTCCCCAGTCCATCAGCGCCAGGAGGCAAGAGAAAACAAACCGGGTAGTGTGTTGCCTCTGAGACCACTCATATTTGTAAATGGGTTTTTAATCTTTCTGGAAGAGGATGCCAGCTCGGGTGCCCAGTGTCCTCCTCCACTAACTGTAGTCTCACAAGGGGAGAACTGCTAAGAATCGATGGAAGCATGATGTTGGGTCTAAGTCACTGCTTGGCCTATAATTAGAGGAACTCAACCTGAGAGATGAAACTGGACATCCTAAAGGATCTGTATGTCTCTTTTCACTGCCAGGAGCCAGTGAAAAAGGAATAGTGCAACAGAAAAACCAAGCTGCTAGCTGGGTCTGGTACCTCAGCTACTCATGAGGCTGAGGCAAGGGAATAAAAAACTTAAGGACTGCCTGGGTTACTGAGGGTGTTTAAGGCCCACCTAGGCAACTTAGTGAGACCCTGTTCCTAAATAAAAAATATAAAAAGGGGCCAGGTATAGTGGTACATGCCTTTAATCCCACATTGGGAGGCAGGGGCAGGAGGATGAGCTACATACATGGACAGACTTAGGCTAACCTGGGCTACATAATGAAGCCCTGTCTCAATAACAACAAAAAAGGGAGTAGGGTAGACAGATACAGATGCGATGATTCAGGTGCTAAAGGCACTTGCCATCAGCCTGATGACCTGAATTCAGTCATCTGGACCCACATGGTAGAATGAGAGAACCGACTTGCATAAATTGTCTTCTGAACTCCACATGTACACCATGGCAGGTGCAACCCCCCCAAATAAAAATGTAATAAAAATTTGTAAAACAAAAAGTTTGGTAGGGAAACCCTTGCCTTGTATATGCAAGATCCTGGGTTTAATCTCCATTAGTAAAAATAAAAATAAAGGAAACAAAGAAAGAGAAGGGAAGTAAATAAGCCAAACTTGCCTCATGCTCATGATTTTTGAAATAGAAAATAAATTATACACACAGTGCATAAGGTATGGCTACTAAGTGCCAAGACGTTTGGTCATGCCATATTCTCCTTATTTTATTTCTCCCCTAATAGAAATGACATGGATATCTAAGCAAATTGTGAAAGCTCTTGAAATTGGATCCTGAGCAGCCCCTGGGGCCCACTCTTGCTCTTCATATTCCCTGCTCCCTTGGCTACATTAGCACTTTCTCCCTTTCTAGCTGGTAAGGAAAGAAGTGACACGAGAAGGCAATAAGCAGAATGCTAGTTTGGTAAACAATGTTGAGACGCTTACAATGCATGCCCCAAGGTGGCTTACAGGGGATACCTGGGAACAAGATAGCGTTCACCATTCTCACAGATCATCCCATGAACGTGATGTGTACAAACACAAGGTTGGAGGTGTGTTTCTATTCACAAACTCTTCCTTCAAATAACATATTGCTCAAGTTCTCTGTTTCCAAGTGCATAACCATTATTAATAACTTTTCTATTTCTGTCCCATACGTACAGCCTAAGGTGAGCTATTTATCATGACAGTTGAAAAAGCTCAGCAGAAAACTTATTTTGTAAAAGAAAAATATCTCTGATGATTTAGAAGACAATTTTCTTTTTTTTTCTCTCTCAAGACAGGGTTTCTCTGTGTAGCTTTGGAGTCCATCCTGGAACTGTCTCTGTAGACCAGGCTTGCTTAGAACTCACAGAGATTGTCCTGCCTTTACCTTCTGAGTGCTGGGATTAAAGGTGTGTGCCACCACTGCCTGACTAGAAGACAATTATCACATGGCAGACTCTCCTATGGGTCTGGCTTTCTCATCCTTGTTTGGTCTCAGTCTATTAGTTTTCAGGCATTGCTTAATTAATTCCTTTATTTCCTAGTTCTTTAGGTCAATGTAAAATTTTAAGGCAATCAACTGTTTTTGCCCTGTTTCCTGTACAGGACCCCTAGGAACAAAAAAAAAAAAAATTGCCTGGAAGTCTAAAGAAAAATGATGAAGGTATGTAATCAGGATAGGCTACAGGGAAGGAGACAGTGTTCTCAGGAACACAAACTTAAAGTCAAAGACAGGTAATGTTAGCAAGAAAACGGACCAACAGCTCCAAGGACAATTGTAGAGTGAGGGCTTCCCTGGCACAGGGTGGATCATCCTGGGAGAAACACTAGGAAAAGAGGCCATCAATGTAAGGTCCCTTCAACAAAGGATGAACTTGAATCGAGACCACTAGACTGGAGAGGAAAGGGTCAAACACAGTTGACAGTCTAAAGACTTTTCAAAAAGCAGAACTCAGCAAAAGACCAGATGTGCAGGTGATAATGAATCTTCCAGGAAAAGCCTGCAGTGAAGTTGTCCAGAGGGCTGAGACACTGGCCACAAGGGACAGTAGGCAAACACATCCTTCTCCAATCACTCTGCAGGCTGACTCCCCCACAAAATCTTATTTTCTTCCTCTGTTCTTCCTACCAAGAGACCAGAGAATAACCAGGAGTTCACAGTCCCAGGCACTGAGATAGATGGAGCCAAACCCAGAGCTAACTGGGTGGTAAGGCTATCCACTCATGGTTAACAGCAGAGTTAACAGAGAGGTGGGTATATGAGGTGGGGGGGGATGCTGTGGGAAGGGATGGCATCACAGGGCTGTGTGCATCCATCAGATAGTAAGGAAGCAGGGATGGAAAGGGCTGCAGGAGAACCTCATAGCATTCTCAAGTAATGATTGTCAGCAGGAGGTATGTCTCGGGGTCAATCACTCCAACCTCTCTGGTGTGAATACTTTGCTATAAAAACTTCTGCTTAAACTCGGTGTTTACCTAAATTCTTTCCTTAGGAAAGATAAGAACCAAGGAGAAATCTTTACTTGGAAGCATTTCTCTGGGCTAAAATTTTCTTAAATGTTCAAGGTCAAGATAAAAACATTGCTAAGTCCAACTATGCAAGACAAATGAAAAAAAGACAGACTCAAGACTTGGTCAGCTATGCTGGGTGAGACCTCATGGGCTGACTTTTGTGGGGTTCAGTTTAAAAGGGTATTTTTATGATTACAAATTGGCTCCAAGGCTGTGGCTAGATCTCAACCTTCACTTTAAAAAGCAAGCTACAATAAGAGGTTAAGAATAGTCCTACCAAAATGGCTCAATGGGTAAAGGCACTTGCTGCCAAGCCTGATGATCTGGTTCAATCCCTGGGGTCTCCATGGTGGAAGGAGAGAACTGACTCCTTGCAAGTTGTCCTCTGACCTCTACATAAGCATCATGACACATACATCACATACATGCCTACACACACACACATATACACACACACACACACACACACACACACACACACACACACACACACACACACCATCACCACACACACATACCAGCACGTACAAAATAAAAGTATAATAAAGTTTAAAAACAACTATACACACTTATTAACTAAGAATTACTGCTGTGGACGATATTCACTACATAGCTAGTAATAACTAAAGGCTCTTGAATTTATTATCTCATAAATCTTTACAATTATTCTACAAAGGCACTATGGCCCTTTGTAAGCCGCAATGGTGATTCTATGTTAAATTTACTTCCAAGGAATAAAAGCAATGTTTAGAAATGTTAACTTAGAAATGTTAAGTTACATGCCCAAGATTGGCAGTCTTCCAATGGAGAATTAAAGGCAGAACCAGGATATTTCAGGGCTTTTGTTCTAACCCAGAGGTCAGCAAACCTTTTCTGTAAATAGACAGGTAAGCTTGGTGTCCAAACCAAGCTCCTTATGGACAGTAAAATTAGAATTTCATGTAGTTTCAACATATAAGAAATACCATTCTTTTCATTTCCTCTCCAAACACTTAAGAAAGTAGAAACTATCACTAGTTCACGAGCCATGACCAAAGAGGTGACAGGCTGGTCCCCCTCCCCCCATACCTTGCTGACCCTGCTTGAAACCACCAGGCTGTGCCACAATTCAGCTCATATCACACACTGATATCCCAGAGTCCAGAGATATTGCTAGGCAAAACCAACAAATACAACTGTGAGGAAAACCTAACAGAAGTGGCCCTGACTCCGCCTGACCTGGGGTTACAACTTGCACACATTTTTCTTTCTTGCACCCCCTCACCTGCACTCTTCTACGGTAGCAGGTGGTGATTCAGGTCAACCTGAAACCAGCAGAGATTCTGCACATGAGTACAGCATAGCTTTCTGCAACCCAAGCCCATGATCACTTACCTGCAAGGTTTGGCTGAAGCGCTTTAATGGTGTGGTCTTCACAGGTGGGATGAGGTTTGCTAGCGACGTGACTCTCGAAAGGGGTTTGACCCTTTTATTACTAGGTTCCTGTAGAGTTAGGGAAAAAAAATAAGAGGACAATGTCAAAGTCAGTCTTGCAGATATCTGCCATGTCACGTCCATCCTGCTCCATGAATTGCAGGTGGCAGGGTGATCTGTAGGACGTGAACAGTGCCCTAGAATCTACCCAGGTGATCTGGCTGAGGAACCAGGAAAGAGAATGACGGGGGGGGGGGGTAGGGGGCT